CCTCAGCAACTAATGCAGATGAACACCGCAATGGCGCATCGCAACTATCCGTTTCTTTATACTTTTACGGATTTTTATTTGTTTTTGCGTGAGGTGAGTGAAGTGGTGAACAGGGAAGATGAAGGGTAGGTTTTGTAGGTTGTAGTGATGGGGGGGGGTGTGGGGGGGGGGGGGTTGGGGGGGGGTTGGGGGGTGGGGGGGGGGGGGGGGGGGGGTCTGGGCAATTTTAGTGGCAGCTAGTCTAGTACCAGGCTTATCCTCCCTTGATTACCATGACCAAAGTTTCTTCTGAATCTTTCGCGTTAACAAGTAATTTTTAAATACAGACATTGTTCATGCGCGATCTACATTTGTAACCATTTGTATCCAGCTAGATTATCGTATGTTAATTATTTCTACCATTTCGTCTTTGTCTTTTAGGCACTATTTAAGCATGATGAAGGGACCCTTCCTTAGAAGAATGCAAAGGCACTTTAAAACTACAGCACCAGTAGCATAATACACGGGATTGTGACTTTTTAAAAGTGGACCATTCACGATCAAAGAAAGATTTCCAAGACTTAATTACGTAATAAGTAGAGCGGTACGGAACGAGAAAAACAAGGTCAGCTGTGTTTTGTAAGAATTAGTGGAGGAAGGGAGGGATTCAGCGAACATAGGAAAGTTGACACTTAAGCGAACTGACTGGTTGCATTTTATCCCTCCATAAAAAAGTTTGGTGTTCTGTAAAAAGGCTTTGCGAGAGTTGTTTTTGTTGTGCGACAAAAACTGCGAGAGGACGTTGGTTTTTGTTTCATGTCGGGCCTACACTTAAAAGGTCAGTAAGGCATAAATTACTTTCTCATTTGGGAAAGCTATAACTTTACATATTAGCAAAAAGCTATAGTTCAAAATCTGAACTGATAGCAATCTCTTATGGATGCATTATAGAAACCGCGCTGAAAGGCCTGAAAATACTAAAGCACGTACATTAGGGAATTTCCTCTTTCATTTCGAAAACGTCACCTTGTGTACTTCACAGAAGACACTATAGTTCGAAGATAGCTACATGAGTTCAGAAAACAACGCACTAAGGGAGAGGAGAGTAGGAGTGGAGGGAGGTGTCTGCGCAAATCATCTCCATCTCTGTATTTTATTTTACTTAGACCTTGTCTCTATGTTACACTTAGTCGTATCAAGTATCACTGTTAAAATCCATCATCCTTCGGGGCCCGTTTCATTTTCCTTTTGGTGCGGTTCTGGGGTAATTTTCCGGTAA